TTAATTCGTGGAAAGATAAATCAAAAGTTATTTTGATGATCTGTTTTATAATTTGAGCACTTAAAATACCATCAATAAATACTGAAATCTATCAAAAATCAATGTTTTTTTTTCAAGCAAAAAACCCTTCCCCAGGTTCAATGCATTGTGTTTGTTATTTTCTTCCATTCTGTTCATTCGTGCCACTTTCAATGAATTATTCACGAACATAATCTTGTAATCTAAATGGGTTCGTAATTATAGCGAAAGTCACAGTTTCTAAGATTCCAGTGAACCTTGGAAGCAAAATAACGAAAATATTTCTTCCCTCACACTCACATAGTAAAACCCACTTCCTGTTCTCGTATGACGTCATTTCCCGTAGCCCATGACGTTGACTCAACGAACCGAAAATTTCGGCCAGCATGTCGTTGCATCCGGCTAACCAATTTGGACCCGGCACGCAACAAGGGATTAAATCCGAAAATCGTAAATAAAAATAAAATTTATTTCCCACAGGCATGTGATATTTTTTATTTATTTGTTAATTTTTTTTTACTCTGATTAATGCTTGAGTCTGATGATAACTAATGAACACACTGAACTATTATTTCTTCATTTTAAACTTGAACTTTTTATATGATGTAAACAAATTTTCTTCCGCGATGAGTGATTGATCACATGATTTATTTTTAGTGTCTCTTTGAGTTATTTTTATTTGTTCGAAAACAAAAATTGAGAAAATATGAAAAGTTTATAAAAGATGTAAATAGAAAATAAAAACTCTGTATGATCAGGATGTCGTTCTTACAAATAAAATCTTATTTTCAACGGATTTTTGCCCCAAAATTATTGACAAGTTTTGGCAAATTCTTGGCAGTGGCTCGCAAATAAACTATGAAAAAAAATTTCTGAAAGCATCCTACTCGAGAAGTATAATTCCTGAAAAAATCTTTAAATAGATATTAAAAAAATAAATAAATAAAAAATCTTTGCAAGTTTAAATTTTTTTTGGCGACTTGGCAATTGTAGTTGACGCGAATAGGTACCGATAGCGAAATATTCCCAGATTTATTACTAGTTAACCAAATTATTGTGTACATTTTTTGTTAAACTGACCGCATTTCCGTTTGAGTTGAAAGATAATAACGGGTGATCTTTAGAAAAGATTAATTTGTGATAATGCGTTAATATGGTTCAACTTCTCATTGTAAAGATCTTTTCCACCGAACGCTACGCGGCATCCGTTAGATTACGTAATGCGGTACCTATCTATTTCTCATTGAAAGAATGACGATCAATTCGTGAAGTTTGTTCTAAATTTTCAACTATCAATTTGTAAACAATGATATTTTATGCAATGTAAATCTATCGATTTATCTATAAGGATAAAACTCTGCATTAATCTATTGTCGTACGCAGTGATGCTTTTTTGCGAATAATATGTTATTTTCATTATTGATGTGAATTTGCAACAGTTAGTCATGACTAAGGCCCGGATTTTGATGACATTTGCATTTTTTTGCATTTTTGGACATTTTATCCTTTACGGAAGAAATCAATTAAAAAATAATAATACTAAAAAAGAAACAAATGCATTAACAGAATGCACCAAGGGCATCTATTTGTAACACAGGTAAAACCTGAAAATGCTTTCAATTGAATCACCCTTGGTGCCCGACAGCTACTTCCCAAGCCCCCGACATCTAGGTCAATACACAGGACAAGCAATAAAGGTTTTTANTATATTCATTTAAGTTTCTATACAAAATGAAAATGTTTTGGAGTCAATATATTTTCCTCTTTTTTTGTTATTTTAGGATATAAAACATATTTGTCAAACTTTAATGAACGTAGAACAAGTATTGCATTGCTTTCTATTTTTTGAAACGACTCGTAATAATTTTAAAGAGTAAAACATTGTTTTAGTTCAATATTTTTACTTCTATTTAAGTCATGTCATAAGGCATTTTTAGCGCAATTTTCGCATTTTAAGGGCATTTTTTGCACTTTTAAGGGCATTTTTCGCAGTTCATAAGGGCATTTTTTGCACTTTTTAAGGGCATTAATTGAGATTTTTTAGGTCATCAAAATCCGGGCTCTAGTCATGACAAATAAGTCATGTTTAACCTATCTTCAATCAGCGCTTTCTATGTTTATTCTGAAAAGAGCTCAAAACGTCAATATGGAGAAATGTCATAGCTTTCAGAGAATGTAAAGTGTTTGTGGTCTAATTTTTTAATATTTAAAACTTACTCCAATGCTGTTTCACCTTGTCTCATAAAAATTTCTGAAATAAGGGGGATTTGAAGGGGGGGGGGGAAGGAGATAAATGGGGATATTGATAATTTCCATCTAGGTGGGAAAATGTCGCTGAAGTGGCGATTTTTATAAAAAGTTTAATAACTTTTAAAATATTTTAGTTATTTGTCCATTCTAAAGCCCTTATATTTTTTTTTAGTAAGGTGGCATATACAGTTTAAAATTGTAGCTTTGCTTCAAGTGTAAGACTTTTAAACTGTGGCTTTTTTTATATTCCTTTTGGCGAAAATGCTTTGAAAAACCTTATTAACAAGTTTTGGCGACTTCTGGGCAGTAATAATAATAGCAAATAACTAGAAAAAAAATCATAGAAGAGGACCTACTTAAAGGATATAATTCTCGAGGAAATCTTTAAATAGTATTTTCAAAAAAAATCTTTGCAAGTTTAAATCCCTTTGCGCCTTGGTGATTGAAGTTGGAACAGCGATACGAAAATATTTCCAAATGAATTCACCATTAAACCATAATATTGTGTAAATTTGATGTCTCGCACCATATGAAATTCCATTTTACTGTTTCAATGTATGCATCTAATTATCGAATATTAGCTTGAAGCTTTATACTTTACTTGTTTCTTTTGAATTTTCAACCTTTTGTTAATTTTTTTCAAAAAGCCAATTTATGGCAAAAAATCTTAAAATGAAATTTGATACGCTTAATTCTGTAGATTTTAATAACGATTATGCCAATTAAATTTGTTAACTGTTGCTCGCATTTTTAATAGTTCTCTGCTCCCTTGGCCAATTTTATCATTGTATTCAATTTTACATGTTCACACCAAATCTTTTACTAATTTAGTGTTTTTAAATAAATGAACAAAGAATGTGTTGAGAAATCAAATTTGATATCCCTTACTGCATTATAAATCTTTCTATTGTTAATGATTTTAAATCTTTACAAAGTAAACAGTTTCTTAAAATACTTTTATTGTGCAAATATATATTCCGAGAAATGTTGACTTAGAGTTATTCAATATTGAAACACAGGTTTCTTAACGATAAAAATGTCACACAGTGCTGAATCATTTTGTCTGATTGCAGTTGATTCATCATCTGTTGGTGATGGATCACCAGGCAATAAAACTAGTTGAAACAGCAGCTAATTAAATGCTGATTCATGTATTTTAATAAAATTGAGTGCATCAACACTGAAATGTTTTTTGAGCTTCCATTAATAAGCCTTCTAACAAAAGAATATTGTGAAGCAGGAATGTTGTGTTTATGTTATTTCAATAATTAAAGAAATAAGTAAAAGTGACGGAGTAATTGCATTGAATACAAAACCAATGCTTTCCTTTAAATTCTATCTTGAACCTAATCACTGATTTATTCAATTCTTGGGTAACACATGACTTTACATTTCATTTTACAAAAAAGCAAAAATCTGTATCTTAAAATAAACTCGAACGAATTTAACAGGAAACTGAAGTTTATTACTTGTAGGATCCATTCAAGAAGCTTGAGGCAATTTATAAAAAGGAGAAAAAAAATTCAAATAAAATTTTAAAAATTTCATTTTTGTGTTTAGATAGAACTAGTTAAAGTGGTAATTTAAACTTTTCATTTTTCTTTAAGACGTTAAAATAAATAAAATTATCTACTGTAAAGTTCTAATTTTTGTGGCGAGTTTTTTAGGGAAGGCAAAAAGTTGTAGAAAAGCATTTTTTTTTTATAAATGCAAAGTGATTTTCTTATTAGTGAAGTAATATTTTATTGCTTCATATATTGTCCATTGTGGTCCAGTATCTTCTGCCATCCTTCTGGCTTTAGCTATATTCCACGAGCATAAAATTTTTGTTCTTTATTGCTAAAAACTTAGGTGATTTTTATCCTCCGTATTTGAAGTAAAGGTTTTTCTATGTAAAGAATTTTGTAGAGATCTGAACTTAGCTGTAGACAACCCAATTTTCATTCCTAGTGGTGAAAGAGTTTCAAAAATGGATAAATTTCAAGATGTTTGAGAAACAAATCTAAACATCAACGCAACAACGCAAATTTCTTTCCGTAAGAACTTGTGGAATCAATCCATACTTCGAGCTTTGAGATTAAACCTTAGTCTTTTCCAATTATCATGACCCGTTGAATTCGATAAATTTATTCTCTCAGCGATCTCACGATTTCGCCAGCTTTAATCGATTAATGCCTTTATTATTCCTTCATGAGCTTAACCAGGTTTGTCACTGGCATATTACCAATACATCTTCTCCATACTCTTTGGATAATAATTTTCTTGCTCGAATAGCATTTTTATCTTTTCGATAGTAAAAAAATAAAATATGCCGAAAATCCTGCTTTTCATCTTTGTAAGGGCACCAATCAAAAACAAAAACTACTGCCTAGAATCAATCGAGCTTTTTCAGAAGCACGTCTTGCTATATCAGCTGTCAAAATATTTATAATGATTACGTGGCTTAAGTGAAGTTGGTCGTGAAAAAATATAATTAAATCTCCAGTTGGGAAAGAACAAAATTACTTTCCCAACAACCCAATACATTTACGACTTTTTGTTACAAAATATGTTTGTAACGAAGATATTACATGATATTACATGACATTACATGATATTACATGATATTTCATCTACAATGTTTCAAAGTAGTGCGCTGAATTTCTCACCAAGAGACTTTTTAAAATTATTTATAGTTTTAGAAGGTGCTAAATGTAGAATTTAAAATTTGACTGCTTTTCTCTCCTTTCTAGGAATTCAAAACGTAAGTCACACTCAACATCAGAAGCAGGCTCAAAAATCGCAGGGTGATTTTGCCTTTGATAATCCTTATTTTCAAAATCAAGACTGTAATGGTGGAGATGAGACTGACAAAAGTATTTATATTATCATTACTATTTTTTTTAAATCTGTTTAAAGTGTTTAGGAAGCATAATTTCAATTTAATGTTTGTTTCTGTTGTAGATAAAACTAGATCGTCTCTGAACAAGAACTCTATTCGCTCGTCTAAGGTAAGAATTCTAAATTCTACAAATATATTAAAATAAACTTAGGCTTTTTTCTTTTATTATTATACTTTTATTTTACTAAAATTCAATTGAAAAGCGATATTATGTAATTTTCGCTCTTTATGTATGTAGTGAGCCTATTTGTAGTATTAAAGAACTAGGTAGTGCACTTCTTTTTAGAAAGTGACACTTAAATTATTTTCTTGTCATACTTTCTGCTCTCCAAATCTCGTGACACCAGTTTATTGTTTCCAAAAACATCGTCATCCTGAACCTTTTTACAAAAATTTGAATCTTTAAAAAAATTAGTATATTTCCTCATAATAATTGCGTTTTCGTGTCTGATTTCGTAAAAAAATATAATCTTAACTGATTAATTAGAATTACATCGGCGTGCCCAAATGAAATTTCGCCTTAGTACGTAAAAAATCTGATCATTAAACATCTAGCTCGTCGCACTTCCACATCAATCTGATCAGTAAATCAAAAATAGTTCATGGTCTAATCATCAATTAAAAATCACCAGGATCATAAATTTATCTGAATCTTTGTTTATCCAGCTTTATTTCTAAACTTAAGTGTGATTTACACTGCATTATTTTAGCTTTCTCTAGACAGCATAGCAACCAACTCTCAATTTTCAGTTTGTGTGGAAAAACCCAAAGCATTTCATTACCGGAACATTCTCGGCTTTAGCAGATAAAGTAAATCTGAAACATCTTATCTAAATTGTTCATAAATTTTTATTCCTTAATACCGTTGCCGTTTAGACAGATGAGGAGATTTATTTTTTTTTGTCAACAGTTTTGTCTCGAATGCTTAAATCAAATTCATTTCCGCTGGGTATTATTTGTTCCGTTATTGACCAAATGCCTGTAATATTTATTAATCGGTTGTTTTCTTGCAAAATACAAATAACGAATTTTCGTCATTTGGCTACTGGGGACTGTAAATTGACGAATTTTCATCATGCGAACAGATGTGTGATAAAAAAAAAATTTATATCAGTGATCGATAAATATTTGATCGATTTGAATTTCGGGCTGTTCTTATATCAGGTGACCCACACGTGCTGACTTATCCGGAAATATTGAACTCCGTTAAATTTCACCCATATAATTAAGGTTCTTCGCTATATAAAGTAACGCTTTTGTAGCGATGTTTTAGGCTCAATACAGTGAGCCATGTAGGCTCATAACAAATTTCAAAGTGAGGCCAACAATTTGCAAATAATCCAATTTTGCAATTAGCCCACAACATTAATTAGCTTAACTTTTTTCAGCATTATTTAACTTATTATATTGTATTTTGTAAGAGTTATAAGTTTCAGGCAAATTTCTCTTCTCACCTCTAGTTTGCCATTTTCTTCATTCACATTATACAGTTGATTGGTCACAACTGCTCAAAATATACTCCTAAAAATTGGGGACAACCCCGAAACTAAATTGTTTGAGACAAATACATTATGATTTCAATCAAAAGCTCAGATACTAGCTGAAATGCTCCTTAAATAGAGACTCTTATTTAGAAGGGTGTTCCATACAGAATGTTCTTAGTGTTTTTCTATTTTGACTTTTTGATGAAAATGGTGGTAAATGTTATAACAAAGCCGAGTTAGCCAACGAAAGACGATCGCATTCTTCTTTTTCAATATTTGAATACAGTACACTCTCGATTATCCGTGCGCGGATTATCCGGTTTGCGGATTATCCGTGCTCNTCATTACGTTCGGGGTACTAAGCTGCGCAGTGGTTGAAAATACGAAATATGTCATTACGTTTGGACTACTAGGATATTTATGGTAACCCGTGCAGAGGCCTACTCTTTTCTAGGAGGTGTTGGTTAGCCAACGAAAGACGATCGCATTCTTCTTTTTCAATATTTGAATAGTTGATACTGCACTCCATTGTTTGGCTGTTTAGCACTATGTAAAAATGGAAAATTTTTATTCATTTTTTTTTCTGCATGGAAATATCTCGCCAAATTGGCAGGTTTTTTTAAAGTTCGTAATTCTTTTAAATACATATACATATAACTGTCAGTTTTAAGTCTAATCAGTTCTTTTCAACGAGATAGTATAGAATGTAGTTCAAAATTAAAGCTTGGCTTAGAATTTCTGGCCGTTCTTTTTTTCTTTTCTTTTTTTTTAATTATTTATTTTATCTAAAGAACTTCAAAAAGCATCCTAACAGTTTGAAAAACTGGACATAGCCAGAAAATTTTTTATAGAAGGAGCCAAAAACGAAATTCGCTGAAGATGTAATTAATTATCGTCCAGTGCGCTATGCATAATTAATGTTAACTCATTTTTTAATTAGTAACTTTATTAATATTATATTACATCTAAAATAAATTATGTAACAAAGTTTAGCTGCATGTTTTTACTTATTGAAAGATAAATGAAAAACTAATATCAAGAAAGCGTAGACCCATCAAGAAAATTAGAAACTTGCATGTGATAATAAACACAAAAGTAATTTTAAAATTTCCCCCTCTTTTTTTTAATGTTTTCGTCTTCTTTTTTTATGGTTGAGTCCCGTTTCTTTTACATCTTAAACACTCACAAAAAGGATAAACCATCATGATTTTTGAACTCGCGCAGCGCTCACATTTTCTCTGCGCTACTGTGATTTTTACGTTAACAGCAACGTCTCTTTTTTTGATGCAGGTCAAACATTTCTAGTTGTTCAAGTTGGTAAACATGTCCAACTTAGGTATCACTCTCAACTGACCTCAAAATGAATAACATATTTAAATTCAGCGTTTTTGAATGTATATGAAACCAGTCTTTTTTTTATTAATTCATATATAAATCTTTATGTACAATATATGCAAAGTATAAATTAAAGTAAGGGAGGAAAAATTAGTAATTTAATTTATGTCCATTTAATTTTTCAGATATCTGAATACTCCGTGAAAGCTAAAAAACCTCGAAATGGTAAAGGTCACTTTATGTTTGGGGGAGGTAAAAAGCACCGAGCATACGATGATTCATGTCTTGCTGTGGTAAGTTGTAATTTTTTATGTATTCGATAAATTCTTTAGTTTTCTTAAGCATATCAAGAAATGCTCCAGTAAATACAAATTATATATAATTAATAATATAACATAATGTAATGTAATATATAATTAATTAATAATATAATATATAACGTTTAATTAATAATAAACATAGTTGATTCGGTCGAATATACTCTTTATCGGGTAAAAAGCAGCAACACAATGGAAATTATACACTGTGTTTCACAAAGTCCACTCTTAACGTATACTTTTAGATTGTCAAAATTGAAATAAAAAACCATATGCATTATATGTCGCAAATGAATATTTATATAGATGAAGAAGAAATAGCATTTCAATATCACATTTGCTTCTTCCTTACTTACGTATGAATCCGTGACCCTTAATGTATGTGCTTTTTTAACTTCATATTTTTTCGCATATTTCTTCATATTTTAACTTCATATTGTACGAAAAATACATTATATACTTCTTCTCCTTATTAAGTATCTTTATAACCAAAATAATGATTTGTTATTGCATTCAATCACTCAAAAACTTTGGCTTGAAATTTAAACAAGCTAAATTTTAAAAAAAAACTGCAACAGGATAGAAGAACAAGTTAGAACAAAAAAATAAAAAAAAGTGATAAGAAATAAGTGTGTGTGTGTGGGGGGGGGGTCCGGGTACAAGAGATTAAATTAGAATAAATTTCTAAATACAGTGGGATACTAGAAAGATCTTTAACTAGGTCATTAGAATTTTTCAAAATGTGAAATGATTCCAAGAAATCAAGATTGATAGATGAAGAGCAGTGTTGATTGATTTTAGCTGAAAAAAACTCAAACCTGTGAATAGAATTCCAGCCATGTCTGTCGATGGAAGATCTGTAAAAGTCCTGATTTTGAACATATCTTTCGCATTCTTAAAGTCGATTTTAAAGATAAGTTTGGTTTGTCTGATATAAGCAATACCACATAGACATGAAATTTGATAAATATCTCATGTCTGCAATAGAGTCTTCAAGGTTGGTGAAATTTTGTTTATTTTCAGGGATAAAAACGACTTTAAATTCAAATTTTTTCGAAATCTGAGTAATTTAGAGACAGATAGTCCGATAATAAGGTAAGATAATCAAATTTTTTAAACATTGAATTAGAAAGTTTGGTGAATTGCGAGATTAATTTTCTGTAGATGGAATCAATAATAACAGAGAATCGCGGTATGAGTAATGTTTTTCTTTAAACAAACTAGTTTTCAAAATAAATGTTTGAAGTAATGAAAAAGTGGTTTTATTTATTAATTAATTTTTAATAGAAAGGAGATTGAGCTTTTTAAGACTATAAATTTAGGACTCTATGTTGTAATAAATTCTGTTTAAAATTGTTAGTCAGCTATTGGAAGTTATTTATATCACTACTTAATAAGTAACATATATATTTATTAAATAATCAGTCTATTACCTATTTATTTAACGAACTTTGTGTAATATTGAATTTGCTGTACAATGAGTATTAAGGAAATGCGAGATAAGGCTATTAATTTCCAGCACTGATCTGATAACTCACGAAAAATACATTGTGAATTTCAATCTTGTTTAATCTTAGTGTTTTGTAGTAACCTCTATCTGCCGTAATGTATTGTCATACTTTTTAAAGTTCCTTTTTACAAATTTTTTTGTTTCGGAATGCTCTTTATTTGTGATGTTCGAGTTTTATTTATGTCGCCGCCGCCATCTTTACCTTGTTCCTTTTTGGTTTTAAAGGTTATGGAGATGATCATCCATCATACTTTTAGGAAGTTTCTCTCGCTGATTTTTTGTTTCTAAAACTAAAAACCTTGCTAAAAGAACTAAGTTAAAGAATGCTGAAGATATTTAAAACGTCAGGATTAAAGAGCATTCTGAATTGCACCCCTAGAAAAAGAACTAAAAGTGTTCACCTCTTCCAAAGAACTTGAACGGGCAAATCTAGCGGCGAACAGGGTGACTAATTATAAGAAATGGCGATTTAAAATTGTCAGTCCGTCGTCACTTTTTTCGTTGAAAATGCACCCATGTTCAATTTATTATTCTTTATTTTAGATAAGTGTGGAATTATTATGAATATTTTATTATTATTCTTGAAATTACTTTATGGAATTCTTGTTTCTTTAATCTTGTGATGCTTATCATATTTTGAGAAATGCTTAAAAAAAATGCCTTATGTTATAATTAGTATTACCGGTTATTTTAATGAATAAAAAAATTTAATATTTTGAAAAGTGGCCAGTTGTGAAATTTCATAATTTTTACCATATTAAACGTCCTAAAATAATCGAGCACCGGCTAAGCTATTATACTATACAAATTGTGGTCGGACATAATATTTTCGTAATGCTCTGTAAAAGTTGTTTATATAAGTTATTCATACAATTCAGAGCATTAAATTATTTATAGGTTACTTCGAAACGTATTAAATATCAGATGAGTATATAATTCACGTAAGGCTTTCAAATTTTGGGAAAATAATGCCACACCTTTTATAACTGGTATCAAAACTATTTTATCCAGTTTTTTTTTGTTTTTTTTTTTGTAATTTGTTTAAAAGTTTGTTTTGAAAGATTGATGTTTGGGAAGTATCAGTAAATAAACATCGTTTTATTTAATTTTATTAAATAAACAATAAGAAGTATGTAATGTAACCTTCGACAATCAAAATATTTGTAAACTTATCGCATTTAACTAAGAAACAAAGCGTTTGCAAAAGATCCGTTTTTGTCCGAGGGATTAGTTGTAAGTTCCTATTGCTATTGTTCCTTAAAATGTTTTGTCTATGTTCTTTTAAATTTATTTTTATGAATTTAACTGCGTGGTTAATGTTTGATGGATACGTTAAAGTATGCATCAAATGCATTACTTTCAATGAATGAAGTTAGAATCCACATTCCATTATTGATATATTATTTTCATGATTTTTAAGTTGTACGACAAGCTCTTCAGTGCTATTAATTCTGATTTATTTTTTTCCCTATCAATATTCAACCTTGGGAAAGGATGACTCGCTTAACAGGATTTATCGATCAGAATTTAAAAACCAGATGCTCGATACGAAAAGATCATATTCCTGTTTACTTTCATTTGCATATTTTCATATTTATTTTTATTTCAAAAAAATATAATTGCGTGTAATTTCAAGGTTATGGCTGAATATAAGATAAGTTGCTTTTGATTCGAAAAAAACAAACAAATTAGTTGTTCAGCCGTTACTACCACACACAGTCCCTTGGTACTATTTTCAAAAAAAAGTATCATATACTATTAATTAGTTTCCTCTATAAATTGGCATTACAAACAACTTTTTAGTGTTAAATATTTTCAAGGCAAACGATTAAAAAGATGCAATCTATTAAATCTATGAAAAACTAATAAATGTCTTTGTTTAAACCGTGGTAGCTCAGGGAATAGAGCTCTCACCTCCCAATGAGGTGACCCGGGGTCGACTCCCAGCAATGGCTGGTCGAAACAAGTTCCGCACCCGGCTCGCACCGACCACAGTGTTGAAGTGAACACATATTCTCAGTGGTAGATGGGTTAGAATTCTCATACCGTCAGGCTAACTGTGAGAGGTTTTCGTGGGTCTTCACTCCATGTAACGTAAATGCGGGTTTAGTTCCATCAATAAAAACCTCCACAAAGGCCCAAATTCTCCCAAACCTCGATCCAGGAATTCCCTTGTCTTCTGGATTGGGTTCAAAATTACAAGACTACGAAATTGAACACTAGTCGTAAATTCAAAAATTGGGTCCGCTGTTCAATGACGGTTCTAAAATGAAATAAAATGTCTTTGCTTAGTTTGAAATGGTTTGAATAAGATTTATGTAGATCAAACTTTATTATTATATTTTTTTCCAGCATAATTCTAAACGCATTTCATGCACCATGTTTTAAGAAATAAATTCAATTAATAGCGCATTCTTCAGTAGCGTATTGAAATATTGAACCAATTTCTTTCAAATTTTAGACAATAGTTTCCTTTACATAACTTTCGTCGGAATTTCGATGTATCGAATATTTTGTTGCCTGTTATCAATCAGAAAAGAGTTTTTCTGCCTAATTTTGTGTTTTGTTATTCAAAATGATCTAAAGTTATGAGAAATCAAGTTTTTATAATTCAAACTACATTTATCGAAAAAGAATATATTAACCATATTGATTTCTGTAGACTGTTCAATCAAGTTTTTGACTCAATATTTTTCATTTTAATATTATACATATTTATTAAAGAAATCATTTTGAACTATAATTCTTTTTCTAGAAGGTAACTATTGCAGCTCTTCTTGAAGTGTGATCGTCCCTTTGTTGGGACGATTAATGTTTGGTAGCGTTTGAGCATATTGAAAAGATAATTTTGTTTAAGAAGTATATGTTTTCTGTGTTAAGAAAACAAAATAAGATACATTTTTACCATTAAAAAATATTTATTTTCGCTGTATAATATATGCATTATTAGGAAAACAAGATTTTGTAAATAGTTTCTATTGCTAACTATTTGTACAAAAATATGATTTCATGGAAATTAATTCGTTTTAAACTTTAATATTGCAAAATGCAAACTTTTTAATGTAATTTCTATTTACTGATAGTGTAAGTAGATTGCCAAATATAGTACAACAAAATGTTTTAAAAGTTCTTGCCTTTATTATTCTTAAAAAGAGAAAATTAAAAATTACATATTGCGACTAAGGTTTGTTAGGAATCGCGAATACCATATCTTACGATAAATAATGTTAGATAATGTCGCATTCAATTAATTTTGCTTTATTTCCTAACCGTCGTTGAACAGCCGACCGTATTTACGGTTTACGGCTACTAATGTTCAACTCCGTGGTCTTGTAATTTTGAACCCAATCTAGAAGACAAGGGAACTCCTGGATCAAGAAGTGGGAGAATTTGCCTTCGTGGAGTACTTTTTGATGCAACTAACCAGCATTTGCGGTTAGCGTGACGGCAAGTGGACTCTAGCGCATGATCCGTCTACCACTGAGGATATTTTACGTCAACATTGTGGTCGTTGCGAGCCGGGTGCAGCATTCGAATGGAACAGCTATCGCTGGGATCGAACCCGGATCACCTCATTGGGAGGCGAGCGCTCTATCCCCTGAGCTACCACGGCTCATTCAATTAATTTGCGAAAAAAACAACTATTGTTAATTATCGAATATGATAATATCTCAATCATGTCGTCATCATACCTCTGGGGGTACTGATCCCGGAGTTTTCTTGTCTTCTGGGTTGGTAAAAAATTACAAGACTGCGGTGTTGAACATCAGTAGTTGTAAACAAGCGAAAATTGAGTCGGCTGTTCAACGACGGATATAAAATAAAATTTAAAAAAATCATGTTGTCAACGATAACAATCGAATACAATAATATCGGGAATAATATTATCCTGAATGTTTGACAAGAAAAGTATTCATGGCATTCGTTAGATTGAAAATTAATAAGGAACCTAGGTATGATATATCACAATATGAAAGCTCCTTTACAACCCTGAGGACTACTTTTAATGTACAGGGTTTTAGTTGCTTAAAGTTAGCATTTGTAATTAATATCTTTCTTGTTCTTTATGATTTTATTACATTTTATCACTTGTATTCTAGGAACCAGAGAGAACTGTTGTGTCATTGCGTGGGCATGATTTTACCGGTTTAGGATTCAACATATGTGGAAATATGAGAGATGGTATTATGGTAAAGGATGTTCTCCATCGTGGACCTGCTAGTGAATCTGGACTCATCAAAGCTGGTATAATACCCTATTTTAGTAACCTCGATGAAGTAAAAATGAAAGTAAACTTAAAATATAATAAATATGCCAAACTAACATTTATCTGGAGAAAAAAAAATTTATTTGCTGATATTTAGGGGGTGGACAAAATAATGGAAACACTTCTATGCTAAGACATTTTTCATATTTCTCAAGAAATACTTAAAGAATCATTTTATAATTTTAGAAGTGTTTAGATCACGTGATTTCTCGTACTTATCAATGAAGTAGTTTAAAGCTTTTTAGAGGTTTGAGAGACCGATAATAAATTACAAGCAGAAAATAGTGTTTTTAGAACATCCTGTGCCCAAAAAAAATGTAGCAATAAATTTCTAACTTGTAGCAATTACTTTGGTTATTATATGCAATAATTGCACAAAATTTCGTAATCCTAGCTTAAATATTTATAAAAATATGGACAATTTTGTAAAAAAATAATAATAATAATAATAAATTTTTTTTTGTCTTACACTTTTTTGCTATAACTTTAAAAATATTCATTAAAAATAGACAACATTTTTACTGCAATTTAAACTTAATTACAAAATTTACGAAATTTGTTTTTCTAGGTTTACGAAATTTTGCGTAATTATGGCATACAATAACTAAAATAATTGTTTTAAGTTACAAATTGCAAATTTATTGCTACATTTTTGGCATGGTGTTTAAAAACACTGTTTTCGGTATTTAATTTATTGTCGATCCTTCAAACCTCTAAAAGCTTTAAACTTCATTGATAAGTATGAGAAATCACATATACTAAACAATTCTAAATATGAATATAAATCTTCTAAATATTAAAATAATATATAGGAAATAAATCTTCTAAATATTATAAAATAATTTTCTAAGTATTTTTAGGAAAAGATAAGAAAAAAAGTGTCAGTAAAGAAGTATTTCCATTATTTCACCCAACCCCTGTATAAGGTCATGGAGTTTCTTTAATATATCTGAGCACTATAATAAAAACGGTTCTGCAATACAATTATGCACGTCAAAATAATATATTTTTCCCCTACCATGCAACAGTTTTTTATGAGGCCATGTGTAACAACAAATAAAATATTTCTATAATAACGCAATTAAATAATAGTCTATTCATCAATTTTAGCTCTACATACAATTTTTAGAAGCCTTATTAAAAAATGAAAAAATAGATGCTCATACTCTTAAAAGATCACAAATTAATACAAGTTAAGGAGAAACAAAAAGGCTATTTAATTCTGTGGAATTAAGAATGATAAACGCGGAACAAAAAAGCTTAAAAACTTTTTGGTTAATGGAAGAAACAAAGGATCTGAAAAAGGATTATTAGAAATATTTCATTGATTCATACGGAAATCAAATTAATTTGTTTCATCCTGCCTTCTTCACAAGTGTTCTGACAGATTTTGCAAGTGGTTTGCGATGACTAGTGATTTGCATTTGTGTACTATTAGTGCATCATTCTGCAGTTTTATTGCTTTTTAAAATTTGGAGGCATTTCTAATGTAGTTGTGTTTCAATTTCTGTTTTCTTCTGGCACCCTATGACTAGCATTGGTCAGAATGCCCAATCGCATTATCAAATAAAGCATTTACAGAATTTTGCATAATAAATTGAAAAAAATCGAGAAATAAATTCGAGTTAAGACTATATTAAAATGATTAACACCGTTAATCGTAAATTTCCCTTGCAAGCTTTTCAAAAAATTATGCAATATAATTAGTACGATTCTAAACTTGAAGAAGAATGAGAACTCTTTTTGAATATCGGTGAAGAATGTTTCCTAGTAGATCAACTTTAAAAACATTGTTCATGTTAACAATAATCTGTGCAATAGGCCAAGTAATTTTTTCTTCCAATTTTTTTCATGATAATCGCAATTCAAATTATTTTTCATAAAACAAAAATATATAATAGAGTTAATTAAAATAAATCTAGCTATTTAATAAATATAAGCGCTATTTATTAATCTAATTATTTCTTTGAAGAATTAAATCATTACTATAATTTAAATGCCAAGAAGAAATTGATAGTTTTTAAAAAAAATACAATAAATAAAATAAAATTATGTATAAACTATTTGTAAACAAAAAAAAAACCTTTATCAGAAAAAAGATATAGGAGGAAATAAGACAGTATAGCATAATTCGAGCCAAAAGCTTCTTACTATGAAGCAGGTTTACCGCTAGATAACTTTGTCATTATTGAAACGTTAGTATACAACGTTAGTATGTTTGCATTTTCAAATGCGTTTTTCTGTAATTAGACTGACTAGTGCACTCTATTATTTTAAAAGTAAGCTACTAATATGCCAAGCTTCATTGCAATGTGAGTTTCTCAAATTGTGTTCTCTCCTTGTGAAATAAAAAAGGAAAAGAAACATTTGTAAATACTGCTAAATAAACTTGTTTTAAATCAAACTGCAGAATTTTATTAGAACTTGATGATAGTTTTAACTTTAAGTAATTTAACAAAATGTCTAATAATGAGATTTCGATTTATGTAATGGATAATTGATTTGTTTTCTCAATTTCAGGGGATAAAATATTGAATGTGACAGTTTCTTTTTCAAACATTGTGTATGAAGATGCTTTAACTATACTCAGCTATGCATCACCTTATGACGTTCAATTAGAGATTGAAAGAATCCCAGACAAATCCAGAAACACGCCTACTACTTCGAAAAGGCTTGGTTCGTGCAGCTTCAACAACAGTGGTCAAAAGCTGTTCCATCCCCTCTATCGCAGTCAGAGCATAGACGATCTCACACAGATCGACAGAGACACATTCCCATCCCATGGCATTGGTCCGAGACGCTCTCAGAGCATCGGTGTTGCTGCCCATAAGCTCGCTGCCCACTTCAAGAACTCAGATTCAAAACTTGAAGACAAAGATCGGAATCCAATGTCACTTGTCCTCTCTACCACCGGCTCGTTGAATGAGAAAATGCTTGCAAACGTCATGTCGGATGGCAGTCACCATAAGAATGGATTGCAGTGGGAGAAACGGTTCGAAGACACTCTGGAGAGCGAAGACTCCAGCGTCTTGAGTGACAATAAACGTGATGCAAAATCAATGACTTCCACTTCAACTAGCAATGAGAAGACGGTCATATCTACTAAAGAAAGTGCAGTTAGAAAGTCAAACGAGAATTTGGTGGCATCAAAGAATTACAAACAAAAGAATTCTAAGTACCTAGATTCGCCTTACAATAATGAAAAACTTGAGATTCATAAATCACCTATAGATAAAAATGAAATAGATGGAAGTGTGACAGTGCAAGTTCACCAACCAGAACGCATGAGTGGGAGAAGAGCCAAAACCATGGCTCAGGCTACAGGGGCTCTCTGGCAATTGGATCAGAGTATCAGAGACGATGATAGCTCATTGTCCAATTTAGATTCCCCTCGTTATTCTCAAAGAAATACGTCAAAAGTAGACAATTTACCACACTCGCCTGTTGATAGATTCTCTCAACGGGAGGAAGGCGATGAATCTGATGTGTCAAGGGACTCGCTAGAGACGTCAAGTGATAAAATTGGAAGGCAAAGATTAAGTGAGCTAAAACAGACTACTGAGATTCGTAATAACGGATTGCCATCCAGTGCCATTAATAAACAATATCAAAATGATAAAAAATCTGGCATAAACATGAAAAATAATTCTGGTAAGGTGCCTGACAATGTACCGAGGATTCAGTCAGAACGTGTGTATGCTAATAATGTGATTAATAATTCGATGGTAGCTGTAGCTGGCAATACAGAGCAAAGACTACAGAGAGATAAAGCTAGTCACTCAGAAATAAAACCAGAAAATAGTCGCCATGATGGTGACAATTCTTATTCTAACCACCGAGAGGCTATGCCGAAGGAGTTACCACACCGGGTTGTTCCAAATTCCGCCAACGATACACATCAGTCTGTTAATTCTGAACATTTCACCCAGAACTACGCCAAGGCAACTCGAATTACTGTCAATGGTGAGGCGAGTGAACCCAAAAATAAATTTGTAGTAAACTCAGTCGCTCAGAGTAATTCACCAGTTGATTACAAACAGTACCAACGAAATGACTTGGAAGTTAGATCAAATTCAAATGAAAATAAAAGCAAGCCAAGTCCTTTGCAGCAGCAAGTTTTCAATAAAAAGACTGCGAATCCCGCTGGTATGTTTACGCAAATAAATCCATTCCAAATGCCTTCAAAGCAAAAGAATTTGAACTTAAAAAGTTGGGTCGGTCGAGAAGATTCAAATCGTGATAGTCCCATACATACCAACGAACTTCAACAGTCGCATGGGAACTATATCACTATCAGTGACACAGCTTCACAACAAAACAGGCGAAGCAATGCCTTGCCCGAACCTCATTCTTATAATCAGAGAATGGGTGATCGAACTAGGACAGTGATAATGTCCTCTTATGAAAACAGCCCGTATGGCAGTATACATAGTTCACAGAATTCTAACTTCAAGCACCACTGATTAGAAATTAGATCGCAACTTTATGTAGAGTTCTTGATATATTGTTTAAATGAGAAAAGCAAATTTATTTGAAGAAAAAAATGTACTTTTTAAATGTTTTGCACCACTTATTCCCTGGTTCTAAATTGATTTTGAAAAACGGGTATTTCGATCAAAGTTGCCATATTTTTTTGTCATGTACTAGAAAGGTTCGCTCAGTAACCTCTATGATTGCTACGCTTTTGTCATTGTTTTTCCTTAAAAAAACACATTTCACATTCTTCATAAAAACAAGTAAAAGTTAAAAAGTATATATTTTTTACAATTTTGTATGGGAAAAATAAATAAGAAATAATTTTAATCATGAACGAGGCATATTAATATTAGTACAACTTAAATAGGAAATGATTTTTACTTTCTCGAATTTAATTTTTTTTTTATACAAATGAAATTTATCTCTGACAACATGTCCTCTCTCTCTGTATTTTATTTATATATTTATTTTTTTTTACTTTTGACTCCACAAGACTATAACGCAAGCATATAAAATTAAAATTTCGAAATTTAAATTCTTAGCTGTCATTTTTTATGTTTCCTGATTTGGAGTCCATGTAGTGGTAGCGAAATAACTATCAAATTTGTACAATTGTAAGCAGGAATTATTTTGACTTTACAAACACTTAATATTTTAAGGAATATTGCAAAACCTTTTATATATTTATTTAAGTTATTTACATGTAGTGGTTATCAAAATTATTATGTTCAACTTTGTTAAGCCAAGATGAAAATATACATTTTCTTACCACTTTAGATTTAAAAAGAATATTTTCTGATAAAATCGCGAATTCGGCATCTGTGTCAATAAACCTACAACACTGGAAGGTGGGTCATTATTTAAAGCAAAGACTGTTTCAAACAAATAATAATTTCTAGGGAAAAAATTGGTGTTAAATTTACTAATGAAAAAGACCTCTTCAGTTCTTTTTCTGAGCTTACGTGGTAAGTTAACGTGGTTATAAACAGCTATTTATTCTCAAACTAATGTATATAATGTTAATTTTTTTCCAATTCATCGTAATTTCTGTATTTTAAGTTTCTTAGTGTTATAATTTTCTGCTCAATAAAACAAAATGTAACATATTGTTGAACATCCAAACCATCCGCATTGGTTTCGCTTTCGATTTTTTTAACAGAGAGCTATAATTGATGACTATGAAGAAATTTTAACTATTTCCTATTCAATATCAGAAAGATATTGCGAATAATTATAAATTATTGACTGTGGTTGTATTAACTTGAGAATTTAGTTAACTTTCTTTTTTATGTGATCAACTTATAGTCTTAAAAGTGAAATTATGAAGGTTTAAAATTTAGTAAGCAACATTGTGCACTGTTTGGGAGTTTTTTTTTTTTTTTTTNTTTTTTTTTTTTTTTTTTTTTTTTTTTTTTTTTTTTTTTTTGGAGCAAGTGAATTTATCTACAGTTCAGTTTTTTGCAGCAAGTGAATGTTTCTCCATTTCAACTTTTTGCAGCAAGTGAATATTTCTCCAGCCTAATTTTTTTCAGCAAGTGAATGTTTCTCCAGTGTTTCTAATACCTCATCTAGTAGAGGATGTCATATGCTTAACAATTCTAAAGCAATATACTTCGAATTGTTTTGAATTAAACTTATCATATGAGAAAAAGAATATTTTTTCTTTGCGCTAATTTTATTACGTAATTTTCTTTTTAGCAAATAATTGAAAATTCATTACAATAGCTTATTCTTAAACACGTTACATTTACTTACTTACTCCATTTACTAACCACTTAACGTTAGCTCTTGTATTTACTAAATTGCATTTTAGTAAATACGAGGAGGTCAGGTTTAGAATGCATAGAAATTTGCAAAACATGTTTTCTCTCCATATAACTTGGTATTATAAACAAATGTTCCACACATATTGTCGATCTTTCTATGAGTACTGACTTTCTTTCTATGAAAACTGATATTACTTTTTTTTTTCTTTTTAAGCAAAGCTCTTCGATTGTAATTTATACCTGTAAAATATTATATTGTGAATTAGTAAATGTATTCATTTTATTTATTTAATTATTTTTTTATGCATTTTTATATTTATAATATTTCTAAAATACTAATTAGTACACAGTTCATACTTATTGCTACAGAGTTTTAAAATATGTTTAAATTTGAGTTACATATAGCTTCTCGAGGCGAAATGAACCTTAAATATTTTTTAAAAAGCTGTTTTCCTTAATTTGAATAAAGGAATAATTCATAAAAGTTAAATAAAGTTTTTACATTTTAGCCAAAAATTGCAATTTTCATGATTCTTGACAGTTTTATTGTCTTACTGCAAAAATCGAAAATGCTAGCATTTTCTAAGAGTTATTTAACATGTTTTCTCATAAAGCTAATAAAATTGTAGTTTGTGTCTTTAAAATATTGTAATTTGCATGTAAATTAGTAAATGTATTTATATTTTTTTGGTTTTGTTTATATCCTTAAAATAGTTAAAAGAGGAAGACAAAGTTTAAATTATTGAATTTAATTGAAATAGGATAATACTTTAAAAATATCAAAATTTCAATTTGAATATTTTAAATTGATGTGTACGTCCGGGCTCTGATTCATTCAAAAAATAAGATAAATGAATATAGATTTTTGATTTATTTTAATAAGTGTCTCTGTACTAACTTTCAAAAAGTATTGTGAAGACGATTATAATACTCCACAATTTGTTTGTTGATCTGTTAAAATTATATGTGTATATAGAGGGAGCTTGTATTAAAAATTGTCTTAAATGCGTTTAAAAGATGGCTCGTTGTCGTAATCTTCTCTTCACTAATTTCACGAAAATCATTATTTCTTACTCTAAGTTTTGATTTACGTATTTATTTATTTTGCATGATGTGTTTATTTATTTATTACACAGAAAAATTTTAAAAAATGTTTTTAGAAATCTAAAACAATGCCTTATATTAATGACATTATTTTCTAGGGTCTTATTTTTCATTCTTAATTAGAGCAATAATTGAAAGTATAGAAAACAGTAACCATCCAAAAAAAAAAAAAAGGAAAAATATTCATGGAAAACATTAAATTTAGTTATTGGTCTTTAATTTTAACTGCTACTTTAATTATAAAAAAAGTCATGTCCAGAAAATTTAAAACCTAAAATAATTTTTCTTATAAATGATGTTGTGATCGAAAATATATAATATGCTTTTAATCTTCCTTAACGCCGATAAGAAGAGAGTACATTTCATCATCCTTCTTTTGTTAATTTTAGAATTCTTAAAATTTCAAAAATGTGTCTTGTGATTGGATCCCTGCAAGTGACATAGTGTGGATATCTCGATCCTGATTGGTTGTTGAAACGTAGCATATGTTTATGTTCGCAACTGTCCCTTTTCCATTCTATTTCGAGTAAGCCAAGCCCGTCAAGCATCAATTCTCTTAAGTGACGCATTCTATATTCTTGCACAAAGATTTTATTTCTTTCACTATATATTTCATGCTTAGCACAAAGACAAACATGAAGTCATGTAGAACATAAGCAAATTATGCGTCGAAGTTGCCAGGTGCACAAAACAAATATATCTCACGATTAAGATAAAATACATAAGCAAAAAATAAATCGTAAGTTAAGTAAGGAGCGTAGACGATAAAGAATTATCTTTCAACAAATTCAATGTGCCACACGGCACTGTATTTAATTGACTTGACTTTAACATTCTAATTTATGTGGAGAATAGCTCAACTTTAACATGTTATTTTGCTTATAAACGATCAGCTGGCACTGGCATAGGTCACATGTGTGAATATCCGTGATCGTCTTCTGGAAGTGCAAGTACCCAATTCGGTACTTGCAACTTCGAGAAGACGTGGAGTTATGCTTAATCATGTGATTTAAATTAGATTTAATTGGAAAACTGTAAGCGACGTCACGCGTGTTCGCCGAACCTGATTGGCTTCTGAATCTACAAATGCCACGATTTACCTACGATGACGTCACTTGCATGTATCCAATTGTTGCACAGATATGCCTTAAATTCTAAAATATGTATATTCTTTATTGTTTTAAAAATAGTTTTAAATATGGAATGCTGTGCCATCAACTTCTAAAGCAGCCCGTAATTTTGTAATTATTTTTATTTTCAAGTAATATGTCATTACATGTGTAACTTGTTGAAATATTTCAATGAATTGCAATTCAAAATACTAATAAATATCTGGGCACCACAGTTATTTCATTACTAAATGGAGTTCGCACCATGTACATAATAATTTAACTTGTGACTTGTTAATAAATATATTCTTTATTTTGATATTGGTTCAAGATATTCTTTATTATTTTAAACTTACTAGAAATATTTTAGTTGCCATTTGTAGTTGAAAACTTTGTTCTTAAACTTTTTTTCTTCAAAATTCTATGCTCTGGATATCTCGCCATTTGAATTTAAAATGTATGAATCGTGGATTTTTGGATATTTAATTAAGAAAAAGTGATTGTTTTCCGACTCGCCCGAAATAAACGAGAAATTTGAAAAATCAATAAAAAGAAAAACGCAAAATTCAAATTTTTAATTTAGTTACGAATGACGCTGCTGATTGGAGAAAAAAAAAAAACCCTTAAAATCTAATGTTTTTTTCTGCAGAGAACTTTTCATTGTAACTCAAATATTAGCATGCTCGTTTGCTGATTTTGCCCTTGGATACCATGTTGCAGAAAATTGTTATTTTTAAGATATAGTTTTTCTAAGTTTTCATTCTCATCCATAGATAAACTTAGCAATCAATTTTGAAATTTATTCAGTCTGCAAACACTGTTTTCTAAGTAAAAAGAAGCAAATCTTACAATTATATATCTTTTTTTTAATATTATAATATTCCTTTTTTCTTTATTGATTTTTCAAATAGCTAGTTCTTTTTGATAAATACGAAACTTAGATTTACTCGTGTATTAGCATAACAACTACGTATTTTCAATGCAGTGAAGATTTTATTACTCACTTTTAATGCAACTCGCCTTGATTGTTGTTGTTAATTTACGTCGCACTAGAGCTGCACAATGGGCTATTGGCGACGGTCTGGGAAACATCTCGGAGGATGATCCGAAGACATGCCATCACAATTTTGATCCTCTGCGGAGGGGATGGCACCCCCGTTTCGGTAGCCCGACGACCTGCGCGCGAAGTCGAGCACTTTACGGTAGCACAGTTTAACGAGGACCCATACCGCACACCCTCGGTCCCTACGCAGACTGATCCAAGTGGTCACCCACTCGCACACTGACCGCAGTCAGTGATGCTTGACTTCGGTGATCTGCTGGGAACCGTGTCTTAACGATCAGTCCACTGCGGGACTCGCCTTGATTGTGTATTATTAGACATGTGATCTAATGATCGTCTTTTTTCACCAACTATGATGTGTTAGAGATCTTAAATTTTGTACAAGTGCGTATTTCCTGTGTAAATACATGATTTTTATGTTTTTAAAAGCATAAAAAGTAAGAGAATTTTTTCAAAACATAGCCCAAAAAGCATGTAACCATACGGCAACCTTGTTTCAGAATTTTATTTTTATTGTCACGAAAATATTTGCAGTAAAAACCTTTTTTCAATAAAGCAGAAATTATTGCAGTTTTAAACTTTTCATTCTAAAATAGTTGAAAATTATGTTTAAGCTTTTTTTTTAGAAGTAACTTAGGTAAAATGATCCCTTAGGTCCTTAATAACGTTTTAGCGCGGACGTCACGATAGCGATAGGATCAAATTGCATTGTAAATTAAAATTTCATGACAAGGTGGATTTTAGCTGAGCATGCAAGACGTTGCGAAAAGAAACCTTATAATTACCCAGATTTAAGTTAATGTTCACCTTGAGATTAGCTTTATTCAAGGATTTTTTTCACGCTTGAAAACCCTAAAACAACCTCGATTTCAGAGAAGGTTGTTTTCCAAGGTTTTGGATAAGGGTAATATGCGTAGAACAGAGCAGATTGTCACAGATCTGCCACGCTACCCCCTCGCAATGTGAGGGAATTGCAGGACCAGTTGGTGAGAGCTTGGTACCAGATACCTCAGACTACCTATCAGCATCTTGTGCAATCAATGCCACGACGGGTGCTAGCAGGTTTGAGGGCTAAAGGTGTTCCTACATGTTATTAGCAGGGTGGTCATAATTTAATGGCTCTTCGGTGTAAATTTAGGAAAGTAAAGCGTTAACCAATGCAAAAAAAAAGCATAAAGCAAAGTAAAGC